AAAAAAAAAAAACACAGATGAGTGGTTGCCAAGGACTGGGGTTTGAAGAGGAAGTCATTACAAAAGAAACCCGGGGCGATGACACTGTTCTGGATTCTGAGCCTGGTGGTGGTCACGTGACTGTCTTTCCAAACTCTAAGAACTCTGTGCCCGAAAGAGTGAATTTTACTATGAGCAAATTGTACCTTAATGTAAATGGAAAATAATTTCCTTGAAACCTGCGGTTTTCTAATGGTATTGGATTTTAAAACTGTCACTCACCTAAATAGTAGTTTTGAACATATTCACTATTTGGTAACACAAAGCCCTTGTTGGCTCTGAATAATCCCACCTAGAATTTTAGAAAAGGCTTCCTGTGAGTTGGTGATTCCCATGGAGAAAAATGAAACCAGTAATAGGACAAAAAGGGGCTGGTTTTCAGCATTCTCTTGCATGTGGATATTAAGCTTGAGTAATCTCCGTGAATACTGATGAGCTGCTCTCATAAATTACTCCGTGTTTCTTACACATAGCTCTTGCTGTCATTTTAACATAGTAACTCTTTAATATGTAAGATCCCTGTCTTCTGGGTCATAAAAATATGTGTTCCTGTTAGTGCTTACAAAATTGTGACATTCTATACATTTTTTAAAAGTATGTGGCACGTTGTAAAAAAAAAAAAAAAAGCCTATAATTATTTGAGAAGTAGAAACTCAAGTCATCTCTCCTATAAAAGTTAGTCAGATTTTTATGTCAATGGAAATAATTTGATTTATTATTATATATTGTCTACATTTGCATAAATGTAATGCATGAAAAACAGAAAAAGTGCTCTGCCCTTTTATCTAAATCTTCAGGCCCGTACTGCATGTGACTGTCTTTGCTAATCTCAATTCTAACACAACTCTATAAAATAAACTCAAATTTAGGTGATGCACATAAATGCAGTAAGTGGTATATTATATGCTTTTTAATCATTAAATTTGTTTTGTAGTCAGATAGCATTGTATTTTAACCATCACTTCCTAATACATATTACAGAAAGACCCAACAGGATGAAGATAATGTCTATAACCAATGAACAAAGATATTCTAAAAGTGCATGTAAATATAAATTCTCTTAAGTAAAATATTGAATCAACTGAGGGAGACATAACTATATATATATATATATATATATATATATCCCCAGATATTAATAAAGATAAAAACATATTCAGAGATAGATGGAGCATAATATTTAGATAGAAAAACAAATAGATAATTTGTAATAGAGAAGTGATAGTCCATGAACCATATGCAAAAAAAAAAGTGTTTTCAGATGTATCATCAAATATTTTCAGTGGGCTTTCCTTCCCCACATGCATGAATTTATTGTGTACTAAAATAGGAAAAATGAGGCGACCTTCACTAGACACCAAATCTGCCAGCCTTGATCTTGGACTTCACAGCCTCCAGAACTCTGAGGAATACCTTTCTGCTGTCATGATGTTTAGTAATAGCAGCCCAAATGGACTAATACAGTATTTTATGCTATATGAGGCTGTTGTAATGTAGCTCACTTGGCACTGGGCACACAGGTATTCAATAAACGGGAATTACTAGCATTACATCTAGTTTGAGCTCTCCACACAGCTCTGCTGGCTTTTGTACAGGGATCCCTGGCCCTGGGCTGACTGCCAGGCAATTTCCTGTCTTTCCTGCTCTTGGCCTTACTTGGGCTTCTTTGATACAGCAGCAAGGACTCCGCCTTCCAATCTCTCAGCTCCTCGGTGCCCATTCTGTCTGAGCAGCAGAACTGGAGCAGATCCTGATCATGTTAAAGATGGCCCTGCTGTGCTCCAAATGTTTGTATCCCCCCCAGATTCACATGTTGAAACCCTAACCCCCAGGGTGATGGTACTGGGAGGTGAGGGATTTGGCAGGTGACTAGGTTATGAAAGCAGCAAAACCCTCATGAATGCGATTAGTGCCCTTAGAAGAAATCAAAGAGAGGCCGTCATATTTTTCACCACCTGAGGCCACAATGAGGAGGCACCATCTGTGAAACAGAAACTTGACCTTCACTAGACACCGAACCTGCCAATGCCTTGATCCTGGACTTCACAGCCTCCAGAACTCAGAGGAATACATTTCTATCTGTTTTGTGATTACAGCCCTAAGGGTCGAAGTCAATATTTTTGTATGCTTGAATTTGAATCAGCCACTTGAGGTCTTTTATCCCTGATTTTACATAGCACAGCATCTGGTATATATTAGATATTCAGTCAAGGTTTATGGAAGGAACGACAGTGTTCCTTCGTAAAAATAATTCCAGGCATTAGTAAATAGCTGCAGAGGCTTTGGCCGGAGAGTTACACGTGACCCATCATCTCTGAGGTCAAACTCTTTAAGCTAAATTGCAGAATAACACGGTACTTTTAGGGCAGGGTAGATGGGGTGTGGGATGGAGAGGTACAAGGGGACAGTCCCCAGTGGACTCTTCAGATAGACTCAGTGCTGCCTTGGGGGCCAGCAGGCTGGGCTGCAGGGGACCTGTGTGACATCAGGTGAGGACTCTGAGAACTAATAAACAGTCTGATGCAGGATGGCAACTGGTCATGGGGCCGAGTTTCAGACACAGTGTGCCACACCAGGAGATGAGGGCAAGCCACTGTCACAGATGGTTCGAGTCGTTTCCAGGCAGAGTAAGAAAGCAGGTGAAGGCTTGACAAGCTGCATGCTAAAGTGGAATCGGAGGCAAGCTCCAAGGCCAGATGTATGTGTTTTCAGATGTATCATCAAATATTTTCAGTGGGTTTTCTCTTCATTCTCTTCCTCCCAGAGACAGGAGAGGGTGCTTCCCTCAGTGCCGGCCGGTTTACTGCTAGTGAAAAGCGTGGCCAGTTAAAGTACCGGGGTCTCTATGATGGGTTGAATTGTGTCCCCCAGAAAGATATGTAAAAGATGTAATCCCCAGAACTGCGGAGTGTGACCTTACTCAGAAATGGGGATTTTACAGATGTAATTAGTTAATGACTCTAGTGGAGGTGGGTCCTTCATCCAACTTGAGCAGTGTCCTGATCAGAAAAGAAAGCAGGTGCAGGGAGAAGGTGCCATGGGACAAGGGAGGCAGAATGCGAGGGTTGCGGTTGCAAGTCGAGAACCCCCAGAGATGAATGGGCACCACCAGAGGAGGCAAGGAAGGTTGCTTCCCTACACGTCCCAGAGAAAGTTTGGCCCTGCTGACATCTTGGTTTTGGACTTCTAACCTCCAGAACTGAGAACAGCTTTCTGCTGTTTTAAGTCACCCAGTCTAGGATACTTTGTTATGGCAGACGTAGGGGACTCATCCAGTCTCTAAGGGCAAATGCTCTGTTTATCTACTGAGGAGCCCTGGCAGCTGTCTGTGGGGCCAGCCCCACCTCCATGCAGATTCAGGTGTCCCCATACCTGCCGTGGTATCTACCCATTTTGGACACTCAGATTCTGCCATACCCAACAGTTCCTCCTCTAGAATCTGCAGTTCTTTTTTGGATGTTACTGTTCCAGGATGGCTGGAGGCAGAGAAAGATGTGCCCGTCACTTATAAGACAAAGAAACTGCTCTACCCTCAGGGAAAATCTGCCTGGGTGCTGGCTTTCCCTGAGAGAGTCTCTCCCGACCTTATGACATCTCTTTTCAGCCTCCTGCCACAAGGAAGCTAGATGCATCATTTACATTTGCCTAAGAGTTAAGCATTAAGTTCGTAGTGTCAATTGCTCTCCTTCCTTTCTGATACCCTGACAGGCATCCTTCTCCACACAGTCTTCTGTGTGCCTCTGGTGATGAAGGCTCTGACAATGAAGTGTGCCCTGGAATACATAGTCTTCATGAATAGTGAATATCTGAAGACAGAATAGCTTAGTTCACTAATTATATGCATATAGGTCTGTTCTTTTAAAGGGGAGAGACCTTTAGCAGAAATTTATTTAAATGCCCTTGCATTAAATGGACTGTGTGCTCCTTTTGAGAAATTTGTGAATGTATTTGAAGCAGCAATACATGAAGGCTTGACACTGGATCCTAAAGCCTAAAATAATTGGTCACATTCAGCTCTTCAAATATATTTTTGGCGTTAACAATGCTCTGAGTGATGTAGTTGACCATTCAGGTTTGCACTTCAGTAAAACTTGAATAATCATTGCTTAAATTAAGAACTATCAGATACCTGTAATCCTAGCACTTTGCAAGGCTGAGGTGGGCAGATCACCTGAGGTGAGGAGTTCGAGACCAGCCTAGCCAATATGGTAAAACCCCATCTGTACTAAAAGCACAAGAATTAGCTGAGTGGGGTGGCGTGTGCCTGTAATCACAGCTACTCAGGAGGCTGAGGCAGGAGAATCACTTGAACCTGGGAGGTGGAGGTTGCAGTGAGCTGAGATCGTCCCACTGTACTCCAGCCTGGGCAACAGAGCAAGACTCTGTCTCAAAATAAAGAACTATCAGATAAAGACCAAGAAGAGACCAAACCCAAATTAAATAATAAATGTAAGAAATGAAGAAGTGAAGGCAAGTGAAAAGGTTACAGGATGAATAACGCATAGAAAGCATAATAAGGCCATGTCTTATTGAGGAGAGCTGTGATACTGAACAAGACTGATCCTTACATTGCTTGCAAACTGTATTAAAATTACTCGAAGAGAAAACTGCATATGGTGTACCTATCTCACCATCCAGATGGTAAGTGATGGAGCTGGGATTTCAGTACAGATCTGTCTGACTTGAGAAGCTGTGGCCTTGTCACTGTATACAAAACCTCCTCTGCCATAGGTATAGGAAAATGCATTTCCCCTGGCTTTTTTTTCTTTTAATGTTCTTTGTTTTAGGGAACAAAATAGTACCTTGGGGACCTTCTTTCCACCAAACTAACATAAATATTTAGCTTTCCTAAATGTCAGTTGGGACAAATGGAGAACCAGGAGTATTGCCACTGGTAGGTGACTGACAGCCCCAGCAGGGCCTTGACGCAGAGGCTGACCAGACTCTCCTTGAACTCCTAGGAGCTGAGGTGACGTACATGAACATGACCGCCTACAACAAAGGCCGGCTGCAGTCCTCCTTCTGGATCGTGGACAAACAACATGTATATATCGGCAGTGCGGGTTTGGACTGGCAATCCCTGGGACAGGTAATCTTTCTGTGTTATATAAACTCAGAGTTCTGTCATCCTTAAAGCTACCACCTCCATAAAGCAAGCTACTGTAGATAAGGATACTAAAACCTACAGCATTTGTTATTTTTAACTGTGTAGTTTTAAGAGGCTCACCTTCCTTTTGTGTGAAAGGATAAACCTTTCCTTGTCAGAATCATCTTACAAAAAAAAGTAAAAACTGCTATTGCTTCAATGCTTTTGTAATTCATAGGCTGCTCCCGTATTCCTGAGAGCAGGTTGCTATGTAATTTACATTATCCTAGACCTATATTTTCAGGATGATATTGCATACTCTATGAGACAGAGGGAAACACACAAATTCAGTATGGAATAATGTCTTAGGATAGTAGTCATTTGAGTTATTTCTTTAATAAATCTCAAGATGAAGATGTTATCATCTTTCTCCTAACAAATGATTAACTTCAAATATCTTGAAAATACATTTTCACGGACTTAGGATTTTTATGCATTTATTTGCGTCAGAGGCAATCTGCAGAGGGTTACAAAATCACCATCTTTCCATTGATCATCCAGTGGCAGGAGGTTCCTGGTCACTGGATTCTTAGGAAGACTTGCTGACCTTCTCAGAACATCTTTTTAAATCAACACTCTCTCCTCCCCTTCCTGTCCACACCTACACACAGATATTGTTTCCTTCCCAGCCCACTATTTCTCCACAGCTCTCAAAATTTGGGATCACACTGTTATACCTAATCATCCGTCTTAAATTAGTGTTTCTTTCTGTTGTGCTTAACTATGTGGAATTTTTCTTGGTCCACCTCAATTTGACATGAAGCATTGCTTAGCAGGACTCATGCATTAGAACAGATTTTAATTGAACAAAGTTGAGGCTAACAATTACATGAATTATAATACATTTTCCAAGAGTTAAACTTATGTTATCAGCTTTATATTTTGTCAAGTTTTCTAGTGAAATCAATGACTATGGCTGTCAATTATTACCTCATATCTATGCTAAGTAGAAGAAATAATAATCACAGTTTCAAAAAATTGAGGCTTTCTCTACGCTAGGCATTTTTCTAAGCATGTAAAGAGTATAATCGCATTTCATTTTCACAATAACTTTCTTGGAAATACTATTCTTATCATTTATCTTGCAAAGGAAGAAGCTGAGACACAGGTAAGTAACTTACTCAAGAGCACCTTTCAGGAAATAACAAACCCGGAACTCAAACCCAAGCCATATAGCTCCAAACCCCTCATTCTTATTTCGCTAGTCTTTTAAAATAAATACATTTAGGAAAAAATCGTTCTCTTTCATGATCTTGCTGGGATGCTAAGTTATAGATTTTCTCTCTCGCCCTTTTTTTTAAGAAAATCTAACAGGAAAATTCATCAAGAAACTTTTCACTCACTGGAATCTTTCCAGTTGCAAATCCACGATGATATGGTGGTCACGGAATGCCAGCCACTCTTGGTCGATTCTTGAGCTCTGCAAACTCACTAATCTCTGGGTTGAACTTCAAAAACTATAAAGTCAGTGTGTGTTTTCTTTTGTAGACAAACATTGGAGATATTTCAGGTTTAGTTCTGGACCACTGCAATAAAGCAAGGCAGACCATGTTTTCGGTTTCCCAGTGCGTATATAGTGACCTTTATACTATAGTGTCGTCGGCTAAGTGTACAATGGCACTATGTAAAAAAAAATGTGCATACCTTAATTTAAGAATAGTTTATTGCTAGAAAATAACAGTCATCTGAGCCTTCAGATGTAGATGTAAGATTTTTGCTGGTGGAGGGATTTGCCTCGATGTTGATGGCTGCTGGCTGACCAGGGTGGCGACTGCTAAAGGCTAGGGTGGCTATGGCAATCTCTTAAAATAAGACAACAATGGAGTTGGCCGCCTCAATTGACCTCCTTTCATGAAAGATTTCTCTGTAGTATTGATGCTGTTTGAAACCTGTTTTGCCCACAATAAAACTTCTTTCAAAATTGGAGTCAATCCTTTCAAACCCTTCCACTGCTTTATCAACTAAGTTTATGTAATATTCTAAATCCTTTTTGTTTCAACAATAGTTCACAACATAGTCACCAGGAATCGATTTCATCTCAAGTAACCACTTGCTTTGCTCGTTCATAAGAAGCAACTCCTCATACATTCAGGTTTTATCCTGAGATTGCAGCAGTTCAGCCACATCTTTAGGCTCCACTTCTAATTCTAGTTCTCTTGTTCTTTCCGTCATATCTGCAGCGCCTTCCTGTACTGAAGTCTTATCCCCTCGGAGTCATCCATGAGGGTTAGAATCTACTCCTTCCAAACTCCCATTATCCCAAACTCCCATTAATGTTAATATATTGACCTTCTCCCATGAAGAGTGTGTGTGTGTGTGTGTGTGTGTGTGTGTGTGTGTGTGTGTCTGAGATGGAGTTTTGGAGTTTTACTCTTGTCTCCCAGACTGGAGTGCAGTGGCGTGATCTCTGCTCACTGCAACCTCTGCCTCCCAGGTTCAAGCAATTCTCCTGCCTCAGCTTCCTGAGTAGCTGGGATTACAGGCATACACCACCAAGCCCAGCTAATTTTTGTATTTTTAGTAGAAATGGCCATGTTGGCCAGGCTGGTGGTGATCCACCCACCTCAGCCTCCCAAAGTGCTGGGATTATAAGCTTGAGCCGCCGCTCCCAGCCATCAAATGTTCTTAATGGTACCTACAGTGGCGAATCCTTTCCAGAAGATTTTCAATTTACTTTTCCCAGATCTATCAAAGGAATAGCTATCTATGGTAGCTATCTAGCCTTCAAAAAGACTTGAAAGTAGAAATTACTCCTTGATCCCAGGGCTGCAGAATGAATGTTGTATTATCAGACATGCAGACAACATTCATCTCCTTGCTCATCTTCATCAGAGCTTTTGGGTGAACAGGTGCATTGTCAAGCAGTAATATTTGTAAAGGAATCTTTCTTTCTGAGCAGTGGGTCTCAACAGCAGGCTTAAAATATTCAGTAAGCCATGCTGTATTCAGCAGTTCTATCATCCCAGCTTTGTTCCATTTACATAGGCAGAGTTGATTTAGCATCATTCTTAAGGGTCCTGTGATTTTTATAAGAGTAGATGTGCACTGATTTCAACTTAAAATCACCAGCTGTATCAGCATCTAATAGTCAGCATGTCCTATGAAACTTTGAAGCTAAGCATTGAATTCTCTCCTTTCTAGCTATGAAAGTCCTTGATGACATCTTCTTCTAATAGAAGGTTGTTTTGTCTACATTAAAAATCTGTCGTTTAGTGTAGCCAGGTTCATCAGTATCTCAGCTAAGTCTCCTAGATAACTTACTGCAGCTTCTCCATCATCACTTCCTGCTTCACCTTGCACTTCCATGTTACAGAACGGTTTCGTATCTTAAACCTGATAAACCAACCTCTGCTCGCTTCCAGCTTTTCTTCTGCAGCTTTTTTACCTCTCTGAGCCTCCACAGAGTATAAGAGGGTAAGGGCCTTGCTCTGAGTTAGACTTTGGCTGAAGGGAATGTTGCGGCTGGTTAGATCCTCTATCCAGACCACTCAGACTTTCTCATGTTAGCGAGAAAGCTGTTTTGTTTCTTAACATTTGTATATTCACTAGAGCCGCACTTTTAATTTTCTTCAAGAACTTCTCCTTTGTATTCATAACTTGGAAAACTGTTTGGCTTCTCTTGGCTTTCTATGTGCCTTTCTCACTGAGGCTCATCACTAGTAGCTTTTGATTTAAACTGAGAGATGTAGTGGGGTGTGGTGGCTCATGCCTGTAATCCCAGCACTTTGGGAGGCTGAAGCAGGTGGATCACTTGAGGTCAGGAGTTCAAGACCAGCCGGGCCAACGTGGTGAAACCCCATCTCTACTCAAAATACAAAAATTAGGTGGACATGGTGGTGGATGCCTGTAATCCTAGCTACTCAGGAGGCTGAGGCAGGACACTTGCTTGAATCTGGGAGGTGGAGGTTGCAGTGAGCCAAGATTGCGCCACTGCACTCACCTGAGTGACAGAGTGAGATTCCATCTCAAAAACAAACAACAAACAACCCACAAAACTGAGAGATATACAAATCTTCCTTTCACTTGAAACTTACAGGCCAACTGTAGGGTTATCAATTGGCCTGATTTCAATATTGTTGTCTCAGGGAATCGGAGGACCGAGGAGAGGGAGAGAGACAAAGAAACAGCTGGTCTACAGGGCAGTCAGCACACACACAACATGTGTGGATTACGTCCTCCAACTTAGATGGGTGCAGTTTGTGGTGTCCCAAAACAATTGCCGTAGTAACATCAAAGATAACTGATCACGGATCACCGTAACAGATATAATAATAATGAAAATGTTTGAAATATCATGAGAATCACCCAAATGTGGCATAGAAACATGAAGTGAGTGCATGCTGTTGGGCAAATGAACCTAATAGACTTGCCCGAGGCAGAGTTGCCACAGACCTTCAGTTTGTTAAAAACGCAGTGAAGCACGTGCACCAACACAAGGCATGCCTCTATATTCCTCACCTCGCATCAGGCGCTCCCCTAGAATTCTCGGCTGCAGGGAGTCCTGTGGGAAGAAAGAGAATGCCACCCTAGGCTTTCCACACAGGGGTCTGGATTTGTGTGTGAAATTCAAGAGCTCCTAAAAACACCACGGAGGGAATAAAAAGTACTGTGCTAACGGAGCAAATAAAAAACTAACCAGCATGTGAAGCCGAAAGAAAAGGGCACAGCAGTCTTCAACCCGCGGGGCTCTGGAGGCGGGATGCCAAAACAGGAGAAGCCAGGAAGGAAAACGTGAAAATCATGTTTTTAGAAAAAGTCACATTGACACTTTTTCAAACAAATCCTCTTAAAATTAGCCTGAAGTTGAAGACGGGGTTCGATAGGTTTATTGGTCACCAGAATCTGGCATCTCTGGGGAGGAGAGAGTTTCAGAGTGGGCATTCGAGCATAATTAGAACAAACAGGAATAGGCCTATTTAAACTTCATCAATGTTTATTTTCAT